CAACAGACAAAAGTCCAAGTCAATCTTCCTTCGATATCCGATGAGGTCAATTTACTGATTCCCTCCACTCACCTTCTCAAAAGAACTGAAAAGTGTATCAGTATCAATCTATTAAGGGATACTTTACAAAAACACAAAGACAAGAGAGGCGGCCTGCTTTAAACCTACCTACTTGTTATAATCCAATTCGATCCACTTAAGCATCTCATGTTTTGGTTGGATAACCCATGCTTTGCCTAAATGTTGGCTCAAAAGTTAAATTACTTGGCTACCGAAGCCATGCGAAGTGGCTGCATATGAAGCATGAAACAGATGCAGTTGTGACCAAACAGCTGCATCCTCCTCTAAAATACGCATATCTTTGATTCTGCAATGTTATTGCATGTGATTACGTTTAACTGCAGGCGCACTAGATGAATTCATTGCTCCTTAAATGCGTGAGATGTAAAAGTTAAAACTAGATTCTAGCCTAATCACGCCTCTCTCTAATCCTGCCCAAAAGCCACAACAAATTTCCACTTAACTCCCTACACTCATTATTTCTATTCAGGGTATGGCTGTTTTGCTGATTTCTATCGCTTCCCTAATCTTTCACTTGTTGGTATAGTCTCCATATCCAGCTATATGTTTGGCTTTAGGTCAGTTTATCAGGTTTCCTGTGTGGGCTGTGTTTGGCCAGTTCTCGATTTTGGACCCACAAACTTTTTCAGTCTATTTTGTGTTCAGGTAACCTTTTATGAATGAGTCGGCAAGTCTCCCGCACATAGACACTATTACATGAAGACACAACCTTATAGCAGCCCGATTTGGAGAGGGGGTCAGAATATTATCGAGAGAAAGGCATTATCGAGCAAAGTATTATTTTCTCTTTATGTACTATCCTGATGCCACACTTCCTCAGTAATTCACCAATCTTGTTTGAGGAATTTAACGATGCCAGCATAGGGACTCTGTTAGATTTGTATACCCCTTTAGCCCCAAATATGTATTTTCCTTCAATCTATTTGACAATATTATAAAATACTTGTCAATTAGTCCTTGTGTAAAATTGTTCTCAACTGGAATTCTCCTTACTCATCTCAATTCCTGGCCCCGATGATTAACATCTGCCAGACGCAGGTCTCTTATTATCATAGACTTCATAACTCCTACTTTAACGCCTTAAGTGGGGTTGGAAAATAAATTCAAAAAGGCACTTGCATTTGTATGCTTCCTATACACATTCCTACAAAAGCTGGTTCCTTCCTTGCTAACGGTGATATCTATAAAGGGTAGACCGCCTTCCTTTCTTAACTTTGTGTCAAATTTTGCCTTCCCGTATATTCTGTTCATCAAACCAAGA